CAAAGATCCCCCGTGTAGCCTCTGACAGACTGGAGGGGCAAGTGCTGTTCGCGAGCAGCACCTACGAATACACACACACGCACACACGCGCACGTACACACACACACAATGTATATTATACATACACGTAAACATATATATATATACGTATATGTATATATTTACTTCTTTGGTTCTTTCGGTAAAGTCACGTAGAATGAGAATAAAATAATAAATTGATAAAATAACACAATAATATTCTCACGACGTTTCGGCCACAACACAAGCAGCCTTCATCAGGTGAAGGGACTCCAGCGCTGTCCTACCAGACAGTCTCGTCCCTTCACCTGATGAAGGCCGCTTGTGTTATGGCCGAAACGTCGTGAGAATATTATTGTGTTATTTTATTTTATCAATTTATTATTTTATTCTCATTCTACGTGACTTTACCTCCAGCGCTGTCCTACCAGACAGTCCTCCAGCGCTGTCCTACCAGACAGTCTCGCCCCTTCACCTGATGAAGGCCGCTTGTGTTGTGGCCGAAACGTCGTGAGAATATTATTGTGTTATTTTATTTTATCAATTTATTATTTTATTCTCATTCTACGTGACTTTACCGAAAGAACCAAAGAAGATGAATCATTGCAGTCACGAAAGCTTTAAATCGAAATATATATTTACTATATATGTACAATATATACGCTGCTATACAACAAACACATACATACATGCATATATGTGCGCATATAATAAGTACATATATGCATGCAAACATACGCTGTCATGCATGTCACGCATGTACATGAAGACAAAGGCAAAGATCACCCGTATAGCTTTAGCTGACTTTTGTGGAAAGTGCTGTTAACCAAGCACCTATGAAGGAGGGGGTGGGTGACCAGCACCACGCCCGGCCGCCTTTGTCTCCCCAGTAGGGATGTTTACTGCACACCGCACCAGGTACTCATTTGAGGCTGAGTCGACCTAGGGGAGGCCCAAGACCGGTTCAGATAATCGTTACCGCTGTTGGCCGTGAGCGGGAATCGAACTGGGGTCGCTGGGTTCGTAGCGCAGCGCAGCGTAGCGCTAATCACTCCACTAACACACACACAGACACAGACACACACACAGACACACACACACTACTAACACACAGCCACACACACACACCACTAACAACAACCGCCATTCGCGACTAAGTGGCGGTGACGTCACCACGACGCTTGTGCCAGGCCATGTGCACCTTGAGGCCACGTGAAGTGTCGAACGCCCGCTGGTAGGAGGTCGTGGGGTAGACCCAAGTGCCACGGGTCGACTGACTAAGATGACTGAAATGACTGGCTGATGCACCACCTGTGTCCCCTACTGTGCCAACCTGCTGTGCTTTAGCCACCCGGCGCTCCGCTCGTTGTTGTGAGCGTCGCTCCTCCGCCCTCCGTTGTTGTTGGAGGGCGACTGCCTCAGACTGCCCAGTAGCGTCCTTCACGAGCCTCCTCCACAGAGGCCGATCTTGACACCGCTGGTACCAGTCACCGGCAAGTCCACTCAGCTCCACGTCCTCCTGTACCACATCACTCCATCTCTTCTCTAGCTCGTACCGCGCCCGTTTAGCCATCTCGATCCGGCCGAACAAAAGCTGTTTCGGCATGCGGTGGCTGGGCATGCGGGCTACATGACCCAGCCAACGCAGCCTTGCCTGCCGGAGGAGCTCAACGATTGGACCTTGCCCAGATCTTTCAAGGATTTGTGAGCTCCTCACACAATCCAGCCTGGTTAAACTCAGGATGGATCGTAGGCTGGCTAGCCTAAATGTTTCTAACCGGCGAAGATGTTCCATTAGGGGGGTCCACGTTTCGCAAGCGTAGAGAAGAGAGGGAATGACCGTAGCCGAGAAGACCTGAAGCTTAGTGCGGAGCAACAGACCAGGTAGCTTCCACACAGCATTACGCAACTGATATTGCCGCTAGACTGATTCGGAGTGAGATCTCTGCTCTTAAACTGGAGCCGGTCATAAGCACACTGCCCAGGTATGGAAAACTCCACTCTCTCCACAACTGCCTCATCACTGATTGGGAGTTGTGGAGGTAGAGTGTCCGATGGTACAAAATACCCAGGCAGGTGCTTAGTTTTGGTGGGGCTGATGGTAAGGCCCCATCTCTTAGTGGCACGCTCCAGTCTCAGCAACAGCATCTCCAGCTCCTCCTCTTAATGAGCAGCTATTACCAAATTATCGGCATACATAACGTGGTTGAGCAATAGGGAGACATCCCTTGACCGCACCCGGGAATCGATCAGCCTCCCGTTATATCTGTACCAAATGGAGATTCCCCCGGTACAGGCTTCACGGACTACGTGGTCAAAATAGATGTTAAATAATGTGGGAGCACCCCAAGTTGTACAGGGAATGGCTCTGACTCCCGGCCACGTAGTTTTACTCGGGCCCGCTCACCATCATGAAGGTCCTTAATGATTGTGAGCAGAGGGTCAGGGACTCCAAAAGCACGAAGAACAACCCAGAGCCCAGGCCTACTGATGGTATCATAGGCCTTGACCAGGTCAATAAAGCAGAGATGTAGGTCTTGCTGGAATTCCCTACACCTCTGCTGCTGCAGAAGGCAGAAAATATGGCATCTGTGCAGGACCGCCCTTTCCTGAAACCGCATTGGGGCTCTGCAAGCCAGGAGTGAGATGCCCCTATAGTTGTTAGGGGGACCACCAGGGCATCCTTCCAATCCTGCGGAACCCGTCCAGTGGTCCAGACTGTTGTTATGATGGTCTCAGACTCCGGATCGCCTTCTGTACACCGCAGCCTCAGCAGGGTCATCTCCACTTTGTGCCACGATGTTTTCCTGGCTGAGGGATTTCCCCTCCCCCAGGACCTCACAGTGCTCAGCAAATCTGCAAACCTGTTCCTGGGGGTCGGAGATTGGATCACCGTTTTTTCCCCTAATGATGGTAATAGGTGTGGCGCTTCAGGTTACTTTTTTGATGGAGTTAAATAGAGATTTGTGATCGCGGGCCACTGAGGCAGACTCCATCTCCTCAGCAACCCGCGACCACCACCCATCCTTGCAGCGCCTCACGGCTCTCCGAACCTCCGAGCGAAGGCTGCGGTAAGCCTCCTCATTCTCTGACGTGGGATTCTGTAGCCGATTACAGTGGGCCTGTCGCTTTTTCTCAACTGTCCTGAACACCTCCTCTGTCAGCCAGGGTCTGGACCGCGTACCCAAACACTAACACAGACACACACACACCACTAACACAACAAAGATCCCCCATATAGCCTTAACAGACTGTAGGGACAAGTGCTGTTAGCGAGCACCTATGAAGGCCGAAACGGTACACGAGGAGGTGGGTGGCCAGCACCACGCCCGACCGCCTTTGTCTCCCTAGTGGCAATGTTTACACACCGCACCAGGTACTCATTTGAGGCTGAGTCGACTTAGGGGAGGCCCGGGACCGGTTCAGAAAATCGTCAAGGGTGTTGGCCGTGAGCGAGAATCGAACCCGTGTCGCCGGGTTCATAGCGCAGCGCGCTAACCGCTACACTATCGCTCCCTGTAAGATAAATTGACATCCAGTAACTGTATGGGGGGTGGGGGGGGGGTCACTTGCATCTGAATCCATTGGAGGGGGGTGGGTGGAGGGGGGGGGTTCAAGTTCCTGAAAGCACCGCGCGTTCACTCGCACAAAGACAAAGCTCCCCCGTGTAGTCGGGCAGAGGTTGTCGGGGCAAGTGCACGCGACGCGATCATCACTCGACTCGCGACGGTGCAGATCGAGGGGCGTGTGGGCTCAGAGTCATGCCCGACCGCCTTTGTCTCCCCATTCCACCCCCCACCCCTCCACCCCCACCCCACCCATCCCTCCACCCCTCCACTCCCACCCCCCCACCCCTCCCCCATCCCTCCACCGGCCGCCCCATCCCTCTACCCCCACCCCCACCACCCCACCCCACCCCCACCATCCCGGGACTCCAACTCGGGTTGGTGGAGGCGGCGTGACCCAACATGGTTCCGATAAATCAATGTTGTCAATTAATCAACGTGAATAAGTTTCGTTAGCCGAATTGTCCACTTTGTGAGGTTATACCCCGGCTAGCCAAGTAACTGCAGGCGAATAAAAACGTTGAATTCCCCGGACGTGGCGTCATTGCTTCCGCTCGCTGGTCACTCTTCGTAACCAGGGCATTGTTTAACGATCGGTGAGTTTAGAAAGGTTTTTTTTTTTTACAGACCGCTCGATGTTACCACGTGGGATTCATACTGCGCCCGAGTTATTTTACATCGGCAGGCAGATTCATGCAACATGACGCTTCACCAATGACTCTCATGTACATGATATAATTACACACACGGTTATGGAGCACCTCACCGTACCCCCGAGGGGTCCGCGTACCCTCCTCCACCCCCCCCCCCCCCGTTTGAGAACCACCGCTCTAGCCTAGGGACGTCTCCTGGCCAAACCCCAATTGGCGGAGCCAGGAGATTGAATCTCTACCCTCGAGGCTCCTCCAGAAACAACGAAAAGCCATCTTCTTGGCTCTTTCGGTAAAGTCACCACGTAGAAGGGAAATAATGAAATAATGAAGATAAAACATAATAAAATTCTCACGACGTTTCGGCCACAACACAAGTAGCCTTCTTCAGGTGAAGAAACAGAACTGTCGGGAAGACAGCGCTCCAATGAACACTGCTAAGCTTGGCAGCGTCTTTTAAGCTGGGTGGGAGGAGCAGAGCGCCTTGACAAAGGAGTTTACATATCAACAGAAGAATTTAGCATTGAAATAGCTGTGTTAATGTGTTGGATTATCAGGGTGTTAAAGTCAGAAATTAGCATGTAACTGGAAGATTAGGTGTCTTCACCAACGAATTTCACCACTGCGTTTCAAGAGTTGCGTGCCGTAGTTTCACAGCCGAAGCCGATAGAATTCCCGGAACACAGCGGCGTTCCGGACGTGTTCCGGCTGAAGCTAAGCACCACGATGCTACACATTCAATGTTTTAAACCCCAATTCTTTCCAGCAGGAGGCTCGGTTGGGAGCGGGGAGCGTTCCAGTGGCGGCAGTGGCGGCAGTGGTGGCGGCGCGGATTCGGGGGGCTCGCCGGGGCCCCCCTCGAGCCCGGCAAAAGAGCGCCGCCCCCCTTCCTTCGTCAGCCGCCGCCACAGCCGCAACTCCAGTGCCTCCACTCCCCCCGAGACCTCGCCACTCAAGCAGCAGCAGCAGCAGTACCACTTCCCTCACCTTCACCACCTGGGCAGCGCCTTCGGCAAGCTGGGAGTGGCGGGGGGCCTGCCCCCCACGCACCCTCTCCTGCTGCACTCGGGGCCCCTGGGACCCTTCCTGGCCTCCGTGCCGGGGCTCGACGCTCGGACCCACGGGGGGGGTCCCTCTCCGGCCCTGCCGGGGGGGCCCTTCGGCCACCCTCTGCTCACGCCGCAGGTGAGGTGCCAGGTGAAGTCCCAGGTAAGGTGCCAGGTGAGGTCTTGGGTGAAGTCCCAGGTGAGGTCACCTAAGAGGTCCGAGGTGAGGTCCCAGGTGAGGTTCCAGGTGAGGTCCCAGGTGAGGTCCTAGGTGAGGTACCTAAAGAGGTCCCAGGTGAGGTCTTGGGTGAGGTCCCTGGTGAAGTCCTGGGTGAGGTCCCAGGTGAGGTTCCAGGTGAAGTCCCAGTTGAGGTCCTAGGTGAGGTCCCTTAAGAGGTCCCAGGTGAGGTCTTGGGTGAAGTCCCTGGTGAGGTCTTGGGTGAAATCCCAGGTGAGGTCCCTGAAGAGGCTCCACGTGAGGTCCCAGGTAAGATCTCAGGAGAGGTTGCAGGTAGTGGACGTGGCTATGTAAAAGTGGGCGGTATACAGACAGTACACCAAACAGCAGATCGGACAGCTGTGCATACATCATATCAAACAGACAATTATCTAGACATAATTTACCTGAGCCTCCTAGAAAATCGGTGTCTCTACAATATCATCATTAGTACCGTCACCCAGATATAGGGATCCCCAACAGCATCCCCAGGTGCTCGTGAAAACAACCGCCGACCGTGACCACTTTTTCTCTCTCCTCCCGCCCCACCCCCCCCCCAAATTCTTCGCACAGGGCCTAGCAGTTCCAGGCCTGAGCGGCCTCCTGCCGTACCCGTACCCTTACCTGCCGACGGCGTCGCTGCCCAGCCCGGCCTTCCTAAGCGCGGCGGCTCGGGGCAGCTGGCGGTACAACCCCTACTCCTTCCCGGGCCTTGGCGCTGGCTCCTTGCCCTCTCAGCTGCCCTCGATCCTCCCGGCGGCGGCGGCCACGGCGGCCGCGGTGGCCGCGTCGGCGGCAGGAGCCAGGCGGGACGTTAAGCCGGAAAAGCTGGAGACTGCCTCGCACGGCGAGGCGGAAGCAGCAGCGGCGCCGGGATCGGGGTCCCCGCCGGCGGACCGGTCGCCCAGCGAGCTGCGGCACATGCAGCGCCTCGTGAGCGGCCTGGGCGACGGCCCGCCGTGACGGAGCATCCGCTAGGCCGCCGTGAACTCGACGGGGGTGCCACTTCCCGCCCCCACATCTACGGGGCCCTCCCCGCCGTTTTGCGGTCTCGTCCTCGGTTCGTCTACAGCCATTCCGTTGTTTTTCAGGCGTGGTCGTAACTGCACGCCTGCCATCTTTCGTCGACCGGTCGCCATCTTGTGGATCGATGGCTCCCGACTGCAAACGTACGGCCGCCATTTTGTGAATCTAGGCCACCATCTTGTGGGGTCGTCCGTCTGGCATTTTTTTTTTTGGCACCATCGTTATGGTTTTCTGAGATACATATATACAGTATACATATATACAGTATACATATATACAGTATACATATATACAGTATACATATATATGTATATATAGAGATTTTCCCGGGTGCCATCTTGCGACTGCACTACCTCCCAGAGAGAGGGCCTGCCACGTTTCAGGAACCAAAGCACCACCGAGTTTGTCTGACGCCACAAGCGTGCACGCGACGAGCGATCCCTGTTCAATGTGCTCGATAGATGATGCGTCGGAGGCTTCCGACGATGCATGCTGAGCTGCGTTTTGGAAAGCCGGGAGAAACGGGAGAGATTGAGAGCTCTACGCTGTCACCGTTGATAGACAGTCACTGCCAAACCTAAAACAAACAAACAAACAAACAAAAAACGACTTGAATTAAAATCATAAGCCTTTGCGATGATCCATCAGGGTGTTGAAAGCTTGCGTCAGCGGGGTGCATGAAACATCGGACCGGCTCGCACAAATGACGATGGGTTTGCTACACCCGTCCATGAACGCAAAAGGGTTCAAACTCCAAGCTCCGTGAATAGAATCTTCGTGAAAATGAACGGCGGTCACTTCTTTTTGGATATATCGGCGCCCAACTTAACGGAGCTCCGCCAAGCCAACGGACGGCCTCCCTTATAAGGTGTCTCCGAAAAATAACGTTTGCTGGTTATTATTGCAGGAGGCGAGGACGAGGAACTATAGCCACTGAATAAAGCCGCCTCTCTGTGGCGTAGGAACGGACAGGGCAACGCACCTATTATTCCGCGTTACCGATCGCCGAGCAAAGCTCGCTCCGGCTGCGGCGGGCAGCCCCTTTGAAGCGAGCGGTGGAAATTCTACGTTACCATGGCGGGTTGCCCGGGTATATAGCCAATCGACGGAGGGAGGCTCTGTCGACTGGGAGTGAACTGACGGGATGGGGCGGGGAAGAAAATAAGGCGACCTGCACAAGCTATTGTTTCAGAGAGAAAAACTAAATATATATTAAAAAAGGTGTACAGACTTTGCACATGAGCCTGCTTTGCCAAAGGACTTTGGTTTGATTTTGTTCTATTATTATTTTTTTTGTTGTTGCCTATTTCCATTGCGACGTCTCTCGCGCGGAGTGGACTGCATGCGTTTCGTTTTTTTCGTGTCGTTTTTTTTTTGCTGTTTCCACCCCGCGTGAAACTGCGCCGATGTACCGGGGAGTCTCGCCGCGCGGCACATCCCACGACGCCTCGGAAGTCGGGGTTGGTGGATCGCGAGCGACGGTGACGATCACGCGCGGGTTGTTTTCCCCCTGTGCTCCAGTTTTTTCTTTTCTTTCCCCACAGAGTAGAAATGTTCGCCGACTCACAATCGGGAGGTTCCATTCCCACCGGGGGAAGCCCACTTGGGCCGAGAAGCCCTTTTCGGTCACGGGCGATTCAGCCGGCAGACTACGTCAAAGCAATTTCACGATTACAACAACAACGAAAACATCTTAATATATAGAGGGCCGCAGAACTAGGGTGGGGGAGGGGGCTATTTGGCGCTAGCCACGCTGAGAGGCTGGCTGCTGCTGCTGCTGCTTCCTTCCCCCTCGTCTGTGGCGCCTCTGAGCCGTCCCCTCCTCTCTCTCTCTTTCACTCTCTCTGAGTCATCCCCCTCTCTCTCTCTTTCACTCTCTCTGAGTCATCCTCTCTCTCTCTCTGTCAGTCATCCTCTCTCTCTCCCTCTGAGTCCTCCCCCTCTCTCTCTCTCTTTCACTCTCTCTGAGTCATCCTCTCTCTCTCTTTGTCAGTCATCCTCTCTCTCCCTCTGAGTCCTCCCTCTCTCTCTTTCACTCTCTCTGAGTCATCCTCTCTCTCTCTCTCTTTGTCAGTCATCCTCTCTCTCTCCCTCTGAGTCCTCCCTCTCCCTCTCTCTCTTTCACTCTCTCTGAGTCATCCTCTCTCCGAGTCGTCCTCTCTCTCCCTCTGAGTCGCCCCACCCCCCCCCCCTCCCCCCCGAGAGCGAGCGGATACCATCTGGTGGCGGTGGCGCAGCGCTACACGTTGACCGTTGTCGACTCTGCCTGTGGCGGTGACCATCATCTGTAGTGGGGACGAAAGGACAAAGCGAAGCAGCTCCCTCGTCACGCGGGGATGGGACGACGCGTCATCTCGGGCGGGCGATCCTCGGCCGATGGATGGACATTCCACATTGATTTGGCGGTGGCTAAGTCCATTCATGGAACGGGCATCATTGTTCCATTCCAACAAAGTGGCACTCAACTTATAGGCCTCGGATGGACCGAGTCGACAACTCAACCCCCCCACCCACACCCCCACTCCCTGTCCCCACCACGATTGGGAGCTGAACCATTCCCGTTCGTGAGCGGAGTCCATTTGTGGGGTCAACCTACTTGCTCCACCGCCACGTGCAGGCAGCCACCACACCGACTGGTAGCCCTGCAGGTGAGAAACCTCGCGGATCACGCGGTGATCCACCAACCCCGCCCCCCCCCCCCCCCCCCCCCCCCCCCCCCAGTTGAAGGGGAGCTGCTATTGTTAGGGGCGCACACGATGACTCGGCGCATTCGGTCGAATTCCACCCCCCACGACCCCCCCCCCCCCCCGTACCCACCGCCCCCCCTCCACCCCTCCCCCCCCCAGGACGTGAGGCGTCATTAATTTGCGTCCAGCGGGGAGATTTGCCGCTGCACGGCACAAAGAGTGGCGCGGATCGTGGCACGGGGCACAGACAGCAGCCAGACAGCAGAGAAGACAGCAGAGAAGATATATATAGCAGTCCGGATAGCTGGGCAGATAGCAGAACAAATAGCAGACCGGATATCTGGGCAGATAGCTGGGCAGATAGCAGACCGGATATCTGGGCAGATATATGGGCAGATAGCAGACCGGATATCTGGGCAGATAGCTGGGCAGATAGCTGGGCAGATAGCTGGGCAGATAGCTGGGCAGATAGCTGGGCAGATAGGAGAGCAGATAGCTGGGCAGATAACAGACCGGATATCTGGGCAGATAGCTGGGCAGATAGCAGACCGGATATCTGGGCAGATAGTTGGGGAGATAGGAGAGCAGATAGGAGAGCAGATAGTTGGGGAGATAGGAGAGCAGATAGAAGAGCAGATAGTTGGGCAGATAGCGGATGGGACAGACGCCGTGCGCACGGCGCAGCGGCACCAAGGGAATCTTTCCTTGCTCATCGTTCTGTCGCGTGGCTGCTGTGGACTTCGGTGCGACGGAATTCAACGATTTGGCATTTCAGGCAGCCTCAAGACAAACAGCGGCGTCAGGAGCAGCGGAGTGGTGGTGGTGGTGGTGTGTGGTGGTGTGTGGTGGTGTGTAGTGGTAGTGTGTGTGGTGGTGGTGTGTGGTGGTGTGTGGTGGTGTGTGGTGGTGTGTAGTGGTGGTGGTGTGTGGTGGTGGTGGTGGTGGTGGTGTGTGGTGGTGGTGGTGGTGGTAGTGATGTGTGGTGGTGTGTAGTGGTGGTGGTGTGTGGTGGTGGTGGTGGTTTGTGGTTTGGTGGTGGTGGTGTGTAGTGGTGGTGGTGTGTGGTGGTGGTGGTGGTGGTGTGTGGTGGTGGTGGTGGTGGTGGTAGTGGTGGTAGTGATGTGTGGTGGTGTGTAGTGGTGGTGGTGTGTGGTGGTGGTGGTGTGTGGTGGTGGTGGTGTGTGGTGTGTGGTGGTGTGTGGTGGTGGTGGTGTGTGGTGTGTGGTGGTGTGTGGTGGTGTGTAGTGGTGTGTGGTGGTAGTGGTGTGTAGTGGTGGTGGTGGTAGTGTGTGGTGGTGGTGGTGTGTGGTGGTGTGTAGTGGTGGTGGTGGTGTGTGGTGGTGTGTGGTGGTGGTGTGGTGGTGTGTGTTGGTGGTGGTGTGTGGTGGTGTGTGCTGTGTGGTGGTGTGTAGTGGTGTGTGGTGGTGGTGTGTGGTAGTGTGTGGTGGTGTGTGGTGGTGTGTGGTGGTGGTAGTGGTGTGTGGTGGTGGTGGTGGTGATGTGTGTAGTGGTGGTGTGTGGTGGTGTGTAGTGGTGGTGGTGTGTGGTGGTGGTGTGTGGTGGTGGTGGTGTGTGGTGTGTGGTGGTGTGTGGTGGTGGTGGTGGTGGTGTGTGGTGGTGTGTGGTGGTGTGTAGTGGTGTGTGGTGGTAGTGGTGTGTAGTGGTGGTGGTGGTAGTGTGTGGTGGTGGTGGTGTGTGGTGGTGTGTAGTGGTGGTGGTGGTGTGTGGTGGTGTGTGGTGGTGGTGTGGTGGTGTGTGTTGGTGGTGGTGTGTGGTGGTGTGTGCTGTGTGGTGGTGTGTAGTGGTGTGTGGTGGTGGTGTGTGGTAGTGTGTGGTGGTGTGTGGTGGTGTGTGGTGGTGGTAGTGGTGTGTGGTGGTGGTGGTGGTGATGTGTGTAGTGGTGGTGTGTGGTGGTGTGTAGTGGTGGTGGTGTGTGGTGGTGGTGTGTGGTGGTGTGTAGTGGTGGTGGTGTGTGGTGGTGGTGGTGTGTGGTAGTGGTGTGTGGTGGTGGTGGTGTGTGGTGGTGGTGGTGGTGGTGGTGTGTGGTGGTGTGTGGTGGTGGTGGTGTGTGGTGGTGGTGGTGGTGGCGGTGTGTAGTGGTGGTGGTGTGTGGTGGTGGTGTGTGGTGGTGGTGTGTGGTGGTGGTGTGTGGTGGTGGTGTGTGGTGGTGGTGTGTGGTGGTGTGTGGTGGTGTGTGGTGGTGGTGTGTGGTGGTGGTGTGTGGTGGTGGTGTGTGGTGGTGGTGTGTAGTGGTGGTGTGTGGTGGTGGTGTGTAGTGGTGGTGTGTGGTGGTGTGTAGTGGTGGTGGTGTGTGGTGGTGGTGTGTGGTGGTGGTGGTGTGTGGTGGTGTGTAGTGGTAGTGGTGGTGGTGGTAGTAGTGGTGGTGGTGTGTAGTGGTGTAGTGGTGGTGTGTGTAGTGGTGGTGTGTAGTGGTGTGTAGTGGTGTGTAGTGGTGGTAGTGGTGGTGGTGTGTAGTGGTGGTGTGTAGTGGTGGTGTGTGGTGGTGGTGTGTAGTGGTGTGTAGTGGTGGTGTGTAGTGGTGGTGTATGGTGGTAGTGTGTGTAGTGGTGGTGGTGTGTAGTGGTGTGTGTAGTGGTGGTGTGTGGTGGTGGTGGTGTGTGGTGGTGTGTAGTGGTGGTGTGTGGTGGTAGTGGTAGTGGTGGTGTGTGTAGTGGTAGTGTGTAGTGGTGGTGTGTGTAGTGGTAGTGGTGGTGGTGTGTAGTGGTGTGTGTAGTGGTGGCGTGTGGTGGTAGTGGTAGTGGTGGTGTGTGTAGTGGTGGCGTGTAGTGGTGTGTGGTGGTGGTGTTTGGTGGTGGTGTATGGTAGTGGTGTGTAGTAGTGGTGGTGTGTAGTGGTGGTGGTGGTGTACAAAGGGGGAACGGAACTTGGTCAGCGAACGCAGCGCGGATTTATTTGCAGATCGACAGCGCAAAGAGTTCCCATGGATTGTCGCGTGTGCCTTGAACGAGACGGGGGTAGGGGCAGCAGCAGGGGCAGCGGCAGCAGGGGCAGCAGCAGCAGCAGCAGGAGGGGCAGCAGCAGGGGCAGCAGCATCAGCATTGAAACTTGCGTCTGGATGTTCGGCGCTCCCCGAGTGGTGATGCGTGCACCACCAGGACGCGGCTGGGAGGCCGCACCCGAGCGATCGGTCGCGTGCGACTCTCAGGTCGCAGTCGGAGACTCAGACTCGACTGCCTGTGAGCGACTCGTTTCATCATCACCATCGTCATCACCATCGTCATCACCATCATCACCACCATCGTCATCACCATCATCACCATCATCATCACCATCATCACCATCATCACCACCATCGTCATCACTATCATTATCACCACTACCATCATCACCATCATCACCATCATCATCACCATCATCACCACCATCATCACCATCATCACAATCGTCATCACCATCATCACCACCATCATCACCATCATCACCATCATCACCATCGTCATCACCATCACCACCACTACCATCATCACCATCATCACCACCATCACCACAATCACCACCACCATCATCACCACCATCACCACCATCACCACCATCATCACCATCACCACTACCGTCATAACCACCACGTGCTGCTGCTGCAACGTTTGCGCCACTCTCATTGGTCGGTCACGGAACTCTCGCGCGGAGTTCACAAATTCCCCTTTGCAGCGCGACTGTTCGCTCGGATGTGGTGGTGGTGGTGGACAAAGCTGCCAGACGTTTCGACTTGCAGTGTCTCATCAGCAGCAGAGCCGGGCTTGCTAGAACCGATGCCTTGTCAAACTGCCAGATGCTGTCTATAAGCAAGGGCTGGTTTCGACTTGCAGTGTCTCATCTTCCGACGTTCGTTGTGAATTCATCCCCACCGTCACTTAGCGCTAACCTCACGTGGCCAGTCGGAGGTGGCGCGGGTTTAAGGAGGGGAAGGATGGCATCACTAAACACAGCATCAGCAGTAGCAGCGGTACAGAAAGTAGTTCGTGTTCATATTCTTCGGGTCTTTCGGTAAAGTCACGTAGATTGTTATTCTTAGCTCTTTCGGTAAAGTCACCACGTTGAAGGGAAACAATAAAATAATAAAATATATATATAAAACAATAAAAACATTCTCACGACGTTTCGACCATAACACAAACGGTCGACACACC